TTACCTCCGGACCCTTCTGGAACTCCTCGTGACGTCCGGGATCTCATCCGGGACTCCGAACAACATTCGGTAATCACATACAAGTCTTCCTAATAACCCTAGCGTCACCGAACCTTAAGTGTGTAGACCCTACGGGTTCGGGAGACACGCAGACATGACCGAGACGGCTCTCAGGTCAATAACCAACAGCGGGATCTGGATACCCATGTTGGCTCCCACATGCTCCTCGATGATGTCATCAGATGAACCACGATGTCGAGGATTCAAGCAACCCCGTATACTATTCCCTTTGTCAATCGGTACGTTACAAGCCCGAGACTCGATCGTCGGTATCCCAATACCTCGTTCAGTCTCGTTATCGGCAAGTCACTTTACTCGTACCGTAATGCATGATCCCGTGACCAAACACTTGGTCACTTTGAGCTCATTATGATGATGCATTACCGAGTGGGCCCAGAGATACCTCTCCATCATACGGAGTGACAAATCCCAGTCTCGATCCGTGTCAACCCAACAGACACTTTCGGAGATACCTGTAGTGCACCTTTATAGTCACCCAGTTACGTTGTGACGTTTGGTACACCCAAAGCACTCTTACGGTATCCGGGAGTTACACGATCTCATGGTCTAAGGAAGAGATACTTGACATTGAAAAAGCTCTAGCAAATCAAACTACACGATCTTGTGCTATGCTTAGGATTGGGTCTTGTCCATCACGTCATTCTCCTAATGACGTGATCCCGTTGTCAATGACATCTAATGTCCATAGTCAGGAAACCATGACTATCTGTTGACCAGCGAGCTAGTCAACTAGAGGCTTACTAGGGACGTATTGTGGTCTATGTATTCACACGTGTATTACGATTTCCGGATAATACAATTATAGCATGAATAAAAGACAATTATCATGAACAAGGAAATATAATAATAATCCTTTTATTATTGCCTCTAGGGCATATTTCCAACAACTATATCGTCAACGAACATTAAGCGTGCGAACCCTACGGGTTTGAGAACTATGTAGACATGACCGAGACACCTCTCATGTCAATAACCAATAGCGGAACCTGGATGCCCATATTGGCTCCTACATATTCTACGAAGATCTTCATTGGTCAAACCATTATGACAACATACGTAATTCCCTTTGTCCATCAGTATGTTACTTGTCCGAGATTTGATCGTCGGTATCTTCATACCTAGTTCAATCTCGTTACCGACAAGTCTCTTTACTTGTTCTGTAATACATCACCTCATGACTAACTCCTTAGTAGTTTGCTTGCAAGCTTATGATGTGTATTACCGAGAGGGCCCAGAGATGCCTCTCCGATACTCAGAGTGACAAATCCTAATCTCGATCTATGCCAACTCAACAAACACCTTCGGAGATACATGTAGAGCATCTTCATGATCACCTAGTTACGTTGTGACGTTTGAGGGCACACAAGGTATTCCTCCGGTATCCGGGAGTTGCATAATCTCATAGTCGAAGGAATAAGTATTTGACATGAAGAAAGCAATAGCAATAAACTGAACGATCATTATGCTAAGCTAATGGGCGAATCGTGTCCATCACATCATTCTCCTAATGATGTGATATCGTTATCAAATGACAACACATGTCTATGGTTATGAAACTTTAACCATCTTTGATCAACGAGCTAGTCTAGTAGAGGCTTACTAGGGACACAATATTTGTTTATGTATTCACACATGTATTTAAGTTTTCGATCAATACAATTCTAGCATGAATAATAAACCTTTATAATGAATAAGGAAACATAAAATAACAACTTTATTATTGCCTCTAGGGCATATTTCCTTCAATCTCCCACTTGCACTAGAGTCAATAATCTAGTTCACGTCGTCATGTGATTAACACCCATAGTTCACATCGCCATGTGACCAATACCCAAAGAGTTTACTAGAGTCAATAATCTAGTTCACATTGCTATGTGATTAACACCCAAAGAGTCCTAAGGTGCGATCATGTTTTGCTTGTGAGAGGGGTTTAGTCAACGGGTCTACCACATTCAGATCCGTATGTATTTCGCAAATTTCTATGTCTACAATGCTCTGCATGAAGCTACTCTAGCTAATTGCTCCCACTTTCAATATGTATACAGATTGAGACTCGGAGTCATTTGGATCGGTGCAAAAGCTTGCATCGACGTAACTCTTTACGATGAACTCTTTATCACCTCCATAACCGAGAAATATTTCCTTAGTCCTCTAAGGATAATTTTGACCATATGTCTAGTGATCTACTCCTGGATCACTATTGTACCCCCTTGTCAAACTCATGGCAAGGTACACAACAGGTTTGGTACACAACATGGTATACTTTATAGAACCTATGGCTGAGGCATAGGGAATGACTTTCATTCTCTCTCTATCTTCTGTCGTGGTCAGGCTTTGAGTCTTACTCAACTTCACACCTTACAATACAGGCTAGAACTCCTTCTTTGACTGATCCATTTTGAACTCCTTCAAAATCTTGTCAAGGTATGTACTCATTGAAAATCTTATCAAGCGTCTTGATCTATCTCTATAAATCTTGATGCCCAATATATAAGCAACTTCACCGAGGTCTTTCATTGAAAAATTCTTATTCAAGTATCCTTTTATGTCATCCAGAAATTCTATATCATTTCCAATCAGCAATATGTCATCCACATATAATATCATAAATGCTACAGAGCCCCCACTCACTTTCTTGTAAATAAAGACTTCACCGAAAGTCTGTATAAAACCATATGTTTTGATCACCTCATCAAAGCGTATATTCCAACTCCGAGATGCTTGCACCGGTCCATAGATGGATCAGTGTAGCTTGTACACTTTGTTAGTACCTTTAGGATCACTTCAAATATACTTATGAAGGATTGCTTCAGATATACTTTTTTTAACACACATGTATACAAATTTAATCATATACTATTTGCTAAATAGTATGATTTAACAGATGTACCTACATACTCTTTTAAAATAAAAAAAGGGTGTACATCTGTACAGGTTTAACAGATGTACCTATATACTCTTTTTAAACAGAAAAAATGGGTATACATCTGTCAAGGGATGGACATCGATCTCTTTTTGAAGCAAGCAGTCACAGATGATGAGTGGATGGACGATAGAAGTGGACTAGGTCAGAGGAGGCCGGGGGCGCCCAGGTGTTGCAGCGAGGAGCGACACAAGGAAGAGTTTGCAATTACTCCTCTGTCCTGAATTTCAGACGGAGGGAGTGTTTTTTAAGAAAGATTATTATTAGTAGGAGCCAAAAACAATTACCGTATTAGAGAGCGGTGTTTTGGCTCCTAGGTGTATATGCACCTATTGTCGAAATACACATTTTGAAAAGTTGAAAAATTCGGAACAAGAATCCCACATGTATATCCAGACATTTTATGTGCGTTCACAAGGTTTCGGTGAAAAACGAAGTTTTTTGTGGCTTGTGTAAAAAAGATAAAGAAATGCCTTGTGAATAGTTAGAATGAAGCATCAGAAATTATCTTTTTTACACAAGCCACAAAAAACATCGTTTTTCACTGAAACCTTGTGCACGCACATAAAATGTGCGGATATACACACGGGATTTTTGTTCCGAATTTTTCAACTTTTCGAAATGTGTATTTTGACCATGGGTGCATATGCACCTAGGAGCCAAAGACAATTACCGTATTATTCCAACCTTTTTCATTATTGTTTTGTTTTTCATATTTCCTTGTTTTATGGTTTTTAATTTCTGAATTTAGTGATCTGTTGTTTACACTCATTTTCGGATTAAACACCATACCATTCTTCTGATGTACACTTTCAGTCAAGTTTTTTTTGAAATACACAAACATCTATTTTGAAACACGTGGACACTTCTTTTGGTAGCCATGGATATTTTTATCGAAAGTAAATGAGTATTTCCAAATCAATATCAAAAATAAAAATGTTTGCATGTGATACAACTTCCATTTGCAACTCTGCAAATCACATTTCACCAATCGCGTAAACATTTTATTTGATATATATAGATGAAAAAAAAACCCGAAACTATTTGAACAAAATTCAGAAGTAGATTAAAAAATTTCTGGCCTATTAAGATTTATGTACATATTTTTTACTTAAATGATTTCTATCATTAAAAAAATGTAAGACACATGTATATTTCTCTTCAAAATTTCTTGAGAAATTACACAACACATTGCAAGGGGCGACGCCTCTTCCGCGGTGGGCCCACCCCGCGGCCGAGCCCGCTGGCGTGGGCCCCACTCCACGGCCACACGGCGCGCCCACAGCATTTCGAAATTTGAAACGCGCCTCCCCTCTCCTAAATCCCAAACCAAATCCGCCATTCCCAAATCAAACCCCCGTCCCTCCCCTCTTCCCCCAGAGATCCACAAACCCTAGCCCCTCCCGAGCATGGCCGCCCGCCTCAAGGACCGCGGCGGCGGCGGCAGCGGCGTGAAGGCGGCCTCCACCGCCGCCCCGCGCGCGCTCACGCCCAGGCCGTTCCCCCTCTCCTCCTCCTCCTCCTCCGCCCCGCGCCGCACCCCCGGCACCGCCGCCGCTGCGGCGGGCAAGGAGAACTCGGCGTCGAAGCTCTCCAAGCAGCAGCCCGCGTCGGCCGTGCGGTGGTCCACCTCCTCGATCCCGCGGGCCAGCAGGATCCCGGGGGGCTCCGTCGAGCCCTCCTCCAGGCTCGTCTCCACGCTCCGCGCCTCCGCCGCGCTGCCGGCGGGGAGGCCCTCCCTCGGGAAGGACGCGGAGCCGGGCCTGCGGCGGAGCGTCAGCGGCGGGATCAGGTCCGTCTCCACCGAGAGGGGGGGGGAGGTCGGTGAGCGCGGCCGCCAGGCCCTCAGATGCCGCCAGGGGAGGCAGCGGCGGGGCTGCCCCCCGGGCTTCAGATGCTGCCGCTCATGAGATCGGCTCGAGGAGCCTAGGGTTCGATTCGAGGGGCCGGAGGGCGAAGGCGGCGGAGGAGATCAGCAGGAAAAGGGAACTCTTGGATGCCAAGGCCAAGCAGGCCGATGGCGTTGGCAGGAACAGAGAGAGCCTTGATGCGAAGCCGAAGCAGATCAGTGGGAAAAAAGTGAGCTTGGATGTGAATGGGGTGAAGCAATGTGATGTGTTCAGAGAGAGCAGCGGAGCATCTGACTTGACTGTGAAGAAGCAGAGTGATGAGGGAAATGGGAAAAGACAGGGCATCTTGGATGCGAGGGCAAAGCTAGGCGATGAAATTAGTGGGAAGCAAGAGGAGGGGCATGACCTGAGACTGGTGAATGAGATTAGTTCCAAGAATTTTGTTGCTGGTCTTACTGGTTCAGGGGAGGTTTCTGCCAAAGCATTTTCTGCTACCCAGAGTGACTGTGATGGAGGCAGCAGTTCTGTTATTCCTGTGTTTACCGTGCACGTTGTAGACTCAGATGATGTTTGTTCGGGAGTGAAAGAACATCAAAAGAAGCCTGAGGAGTTTAATAAGCAAGGAGAGAAGGGGAAATTGGCTGACAAGATTAGAGTTTTTGAGAAAGCAGCAACAAGTGGGGAGGGAAAATTGGTGAAAACTTTGTGCAGTGTGAACAAGTACCCAAGCAAGCTGCATGAGAAGCTGGCTGCGCTGGAAGGGAGGGTTCAGAAGATTGCCACCGATATCAAGAAGACCAAGGAGATGCTGGACGACAACAACCCAGATGAGCCAAAGCAGATATTGTCAAATATCCAGAAAGAGATTAATGCAATTGAGCAGGCGATTTCTCATGTCAAAGTTGATAACAAGAGTCAGTTAGGTACTGAAGAGAACAGTGACTGTGAGATTTCTCATGCTAAGAAGGGTGTGAGTGAGAAATCTGCTGTCGTGAAGCCACGCGACCTGAAGAATGCTGGAAAAGGAATGAATACTGATGAACTGGAGGCAAGGTTTTTCCCACATCATAAACTATTGAGGGATCGTAAGGCTTCTGCTACTCAACAGGAGTCGTGCGTGGCTCTGATAAAAGGCTGTAATGGAAAAATGGAACCTGGTACCCTTGAGCCCCGTGATGACGAGAACAGTATAGCCATGGAATTTCTGGCTTCTTTAGATGGTGAAGAGAGTGACTTCTTCAAGGATCGCAGAGCTAAGAACTTGGAAAAGCAAATGATTTGTGAAGCAGCAGATGCTAGTGGCAAGACGTCTAGCCAAGGTAGCTCAAAGATTCCAGATGGTTCAACTAATGAAGTGGAAATGGAATTGTGTGGTGAGAACCTAGAAGAGTTTGATGAGCAGGAAAACAAGTCATCAATGGCGATACAGGAGGAAACCGAGGAGTCTTCCATTGATCAATTATCAGGGATAGGAAATAAGTCTGCAACAGGTGGATGGTTTGTTTCAGAGGGGGAAGCTGTTCTTCTTGCTCATGGAGATGGCACCTGCTCTTATTATGATATTGCAAACCATGAGGTACTTGATTATTGACTTGAAATATTCTTTTATTTCCATAGTTTTGTGCACAGATAATGTTTCCGTTCAAGTGCTGATTCAATTGAACTTTTCTGATACAGTTCAAGTCTGAATATAAACCTCCTAGTGTGGTGTCACATAATACTTGGGGTGATTGCTGGTTGATCCGTGCCCCAGGTGTAGATGGATGCTCTGGTAGATATGTGGTCGCAGCATCTGCTGGTAATGCATTGGAACCTGGGTTTTGCAGCTGGGATTACTACAATAGAGAAGTGCAAGCATTTCATGTCGAGGAGGAGGCATCTCTTGCTCCTGTACCATCAGCCAGGACAGTTCTTGGGCCTCTTCCTAATATAGGTTCATCAAGATCTAGTTCTGCTATTTCAACCATAGAACGGCCGCAATGGTGGTACAGACCATGCGGACCTCTCCTCCTTTCTACTGCTAGCAAGCAGAAGATGGTCACGGCTTATGACATCCGCGATGGCGATGTGGTGATGAAATGGGAAGTAAGCAGTCCAGTACTCGGAATGGAGTACTCCAGCCCACTACAGTGGCGTAGCAGGGGGAAGGTCGTTATTGCTGGGACCGAATCAATTGGGTTGTGGGATGTGAATTCGCTTAACCCACAACCCCTATTATCTGTTGCTTCTGCTGGTAAAAGAGTTTACTGCCTTCATGTTAACAACACAGATGCTGAGGTGGGCGGAGGAGTTCGTCAAAGGTAGCTTAAACAATCTTGTCTTAACTGCATTTCACTGTTCTGTTATTAATGCTATTTGAGATCCTGCCTATAGATTAAGTTGACTTGTTCCGGTGAAGTTAGATGTTTTTTTGGTTACTATGGGCCTATGATGTAAGCATTTGATATTTGTCCTGATCATTGATAAAGCTGAAACTTCGAAAGGCTACAAGTATCTGAAAACAGATTTAGGCAATTCTGCTCTATGTGATCTGGCTCGGCTCCATCATTAACCTGTATGTGTCTGTGTTTTGCAGAGTTAGTTCATCCGAGGTGGAGGGAAATGATGGTGTTTTCACTACACAAGAAAGTGTTAATGTATTTGACTTCCGTGTACCTTCTGGCATCGGTCTTAAAATGGCAAGAAACGGTGGAACGGCGAACTCGGTCTTCTCACGCGGAGACTCAGTATTTATTGGTAGCACAGAAGGCAGGTTGCAAATAAAAGGGGGGCCGAAATCACGAGTTCAGCAGTATTCACTGAAAAAGGGGAGGCTTGTGGCAACCTATGAATTACCGGAGTTCAATGCCCACTTCCATCACTCTTCAATAACCCAAGTGTGGGGCAATTCCAATGTTGTCTTGGCTTCATGCGGTATGGGCTTGTTCGCTTTTGACACCTTCAATGAAGAAGGCGTCCAACAAACTTACAGCTTTGACCGTGGAAACACCATTGGAGCAAGAGAGGTTATTGGCTCTGATGATTTGTACTGCCCTACATTTGATTACTCATCATCGAGGGTTCTTCTGGTCTCGAAAGACCGCCCAGCCCATTGGAGGTACTTGCCATAGTTGTCTGTTTATTGTGTGCATCATGTGACATGTAAAATATGTACTGTCCGTATGCTTTGATTGTGTAGTCATTTGTCGTGATAAGCATCTTGCTTTCGCTGTATTATCGGATAATACTGGGCTTTTACTGAGTTAAGTTATGCCTATTGTATCTTGTTTCATCTGTTATTTTGTGTTCTTCCCCAACACTGGATTGTTGCGTGTGTGTGCCAAACCATTGTTCAAAATCAATTGTTGCGTTGTAAATATTAACACGTGCAATATTATCTTAGCATCAATCCCTAGCACACACAACACACACACACACACACACACACACAGCTTAATCATCAACAAAGCTAAAATCTTTGCTGATCTATGCACATCAATCTTCAATGGACAATGAGGATCCTACCCCCTCTTTCTTGACCAGAATGCCTCAGCTAGCTGTGCCCTGGCGAACTTGATACAATGCGCCATCTGAGCTTATTCCATCTTAAGATCAGCAACATTGTGATCTTGTGGATATGCTCTCTGAAGGCTTTATTACCACCTCGACACCAAATCTAGCAGCAAGCACTACTAGGGTCAGCTCAACCATTCCTGGAACTCTGAACCTAAATTCCCTTGGTATTGGGAGCATGCTGTCACACTATTCTCTCCGTCTAATCATCAATCCGTTTCGAGTTCACGAAATGGCAATGGGACAGTCTTCACTGCTCTGAACTTGCCAACATTGTTCAGGTGTTCGTTCTCCAGCCTGCAATCCCGTATACCCGAGTTATAACAAAAACATTAAACTGAAGATATTGATTCCAGCTCTACACTAGTTCCAAATACCTGTAGAAATTCCAATGTCCTCGCCGGATTATCTCCAAGGAGGCGAGGGAGAAATCCAGCAGGCGAGTCTCATTCTTATTAATACGGATCTTCATCACACTTTGAGCCCATGCTAGCCGAAGCACTAGATTTAGCATCTGCATTGTGAAAGAATTAGTGATCATAAATCTGGTAATTTTCTGCATTGATGCTGTACTATAACTCAGTTGGACAAAGTACAATACCATGGAAAGGTAGTAGGTGAACTTGTTCTTCAGGATGAGATCATCCCGAAGCCATAGATTCCTAGATTTGGGAGTGAAAAAGCCCCAATCCTTGACAAAGTCCCAGTAGAGCTGGTAAACGGTGGCGCCTGAGGACGAGATGAGGACCATCGACATCCAGAATGGCGTCGGTGTGACATTGTACTTGAATCTGACGGCAGCCGCCACCATCGCCGACACGTACTTCCCGGCGTTGGCGAGCTGATTAATGTCATGTTCCTCTATGTACCTTCTTAAACACTTCCAAGGAAAAGATGGCCACAAATTTCAGTTTGAAACCGATTTTGACAACTTGAGATCTTACTGTTGTTGGTATGTCGATTCATACCTGCATAGCTCTCCAATAGTAAGGGAGAAAAGAGATGACATAGGCCAGGTGTTTGTACTGCTGGCTGGTAGTACAAGTCTCATATGGGTTAGCCCTAAAGCTTCCTGCCATGAAGTAGCACGCTGCAAACTCCATGTGTCTTAACAATGGAATCTGGAACATGTACAAGTTTAGCTCGTAAGAACTTGCATTTTAAGGCCCCTAGGCTGTAGTGTAATCGTGCAATTATATTATTAATTATTACCTGGCTAGTTAACTGATCAGCCATGAAGAAATCGGCCATCAGAACCTGGATCACAAGGCAAGGCAGGTTTATCATCAGCTATATGTTCATAGCTGTTTTGCTGATTGGAAACTATAGATGTCTCCCCTTACCTTGTAGAATGGTGAGAACACGATGTTGCGCATGATGCGCATGAAGCAGTAACGCGTCGAGCGGTAGAACACATTGAACGGGCAGAGCAAAAGTCCGGCTGACAGCTGAAACAGGTAGATTCAGAATTTTGAGAATTGACATCAGTTGCAACATAGCCCAAGTTCGAAAGTCATCTTTTTGGTTCCACATATATAGTTTGTGTTTCTTACCACTATGAGCCCCCCGGGCACGGCGTTGGCGTAGGATGCGCCGGCATTCCTGAGGAAGAGGTTGATGACCAGCGCGGCGACGACGGTGCACATGATGGAGGCGGACATGAGGAAGGCGTCCCGGTGCGTGAGGGCGGTGTTGGGGGCGAAGTCGAAGATGAAGTTCTGGTTGATCCTGGTGCTCTTCCACATGAAGAGGTTGCACCCGTAGAGGAAGCAGTGCAGGCTGATGAGCGCGAACATGCTGCACAAGAGCAAAGGCACAATCTACTGTCAGGCCAAGGTAAAACTGACTGCATCCCTAACGATCTGAGATATGGAATAAAATGAAATCATGCCAAGAACAGAGCTCTTATCTATGATCCAAACCTTGGCCTTAGATTACCTGAAGACATGGTAGACTACCTCCATGTAGGCCGTGTTTCCAGTTGAGGCGAAAATGCCGGAGACATGTGCCAAGATGGCGTATATGATGAACAGACTCACAAATGTGCCCGTGAACAGCCCTGAAAATTTTAAAACCACAGAGTTAGAATTCTGAATTTCTTCACCATAGGTACATGGTAGGACTGAATGTGTGAATCTATGCGCCTGCCTACCTACGAGGAAGGTGATCATGTGGGTGTTCTTGGGCTGCTGCGGGTTGAGGTACTTCATTGCCACCATCCTGTCATTGCCCGCGAAGTGCTTCAGGAAGAGTGCCTCCACCTCGTCCGACAGCTGAAGAACCTGCTCGAAATTTCATGGCATATACACACATCAATTCATTCTGTTTCTGTGTCTTGTAGGTCTGAAACTCTTGTAAGAATTTGTAAGACGACGATACCTTGTCGGAGGTGCTGAACGACGATCTCTTCACCTTCTGCGAGAAAAGGTCCGTCGCCCGCTGCTGCTCCGACACCTGAGAGAGCATTTTGTGTCAGTTGCCGTCAGCAAACTACACATTAATTTTGTTACAAGTTTTTTTTCCAGTGCTGCCCATAAATCACTAGGTGTGCTATATCTGCAGCTGCCCATTCACTAGAACCACACAGATCACTAGCTGAGCTGTGCTATTTGATAATAGTTGACAGTATTCTTTTTCCAGATTAAGAGCTGATACTACTACACGATAGCAAGTATATACTCCCATAAAAGAAGTATTGAGAATACTCTCTTCTCTTTTTTCTGGATAAAGAGCTGATGCTACTAGTGGAGAATATACTGTCTTCTCTTTATCCTGTCTATTGTTTAGGACTCTAGACTGTTCCTGGCCATCCATTTTCCATCCAAAGTATACATATTCAGTAAATCACTATTGCTAGCATCAGTTCAACTATGCATGTCAATTCTATTGCTAGCATCTTTTTCTTTCAGAGCTAGGCCAGTGCAAACTGCAGTAGTATGTCAACTCAGTAAATCACTAGGACGACCCTAAAAGATACCATAACATGTCACTCACTAGCCATGTCTTGATTATAGCCGATGAAGAGTATATTCTCCCCTAAAAGAAGTGTTAATCAAGTACTACAACCTCCTTACTCATGTTGTTTAAGAGACTCCACACTGTTCCTGTCCATCCATTTTGCAAAGTACGTGTGCATTTTTATATGCTGCTAGCTAGTGGGCAGAGTAAGATAATTATGACGTAGCTACGTACCTTGACGAATTTCTTGAGAATCTTGGTGAAGGCCTTTACGTTCAGAGAACTGCACCCATCCATCCATCATCCATGCAACAGAAAAAGCACAACAAATCCGTCAGCCCCCAAAGATGTCACAGTTCTCACGGCGAAAGCAAAGGGAATTTTAATCAACTGAATCGGTCGTGCATGGGGAATGGCAATGGCGGCCGGAGGCGGAGTGTGCACCTGAACTTCTTGAGCAGCTCGAGGCCGCGGTAGAGGGCCATGAAGGCGTCGCGGATGTTCTTCTCGGCGTGCTGCACCTTCTTGCGGTGCACGAAGGCGGCGGCGGGGTCGGCGCCGTCCTTGCGCAGCACGTTCACCAGCTCCTCCCACACCTTGAGCGCCGCCCGCCCCGGGTTGCTCGCCGGGATGTCGATCCGCACCGTCGACGGCAGCTGCAGCCTCCCGCCCCTGCCGCTGCCCTCCTTCTTGGCGTCCTTTTTGCCGGGTAGCCCCACGAAGCTGACGCCGTTGCGCTCCAGCGCCGCCATCACCTCGTCGGCCACCGCCGCGCCCTCCGTCATCTGCGCCTGCTGCAGCTCCACGCTCCCATCTGCACCGTGCCATGCGTGTCAGTGCCTGCTGCAGCCTCCGATCGATCGATCGATCGATGGAGATGGTGCTCACGTGCCATGTTGCCATGCACACGCGTAAAGGAGAGATGATCGAGAGGCTGATAGTGGGGTTCATGTGCTGGGACGTGACGTGGGTTGGTTGGGTGTCGTACGTCGACGCCAACGGACGTGCGTGTGCGCGCACCGGTAGTATGGAGTATGGAGTATGTGCACCTACCTGACATGGACTGCGGCGTGGCGAGGCCCGAGAGGAGGTAGCGGCCGGAGCCGCTGAGCGCCGGCGAGGGCGGCGCCACCGCCGGCATGGAGCGGCTGCGGCCCAGGAGGGAGCCCCGGGCGCGGCGGGTGGCGGCGTGGTCGGCCAGGATGCGCTTGACGTCGGCGAGGATGCGCAGCTGGTCGATGAGCGCCTCGCCGCGGCCCAGCAGCTCCGCCTCCTGCGTGGCGTAGAAGGTGTTCACCTTCTCCAGCTCCTCGTCCGCCTTCTCCAGGAACTCCCGCTCCTGCACGGCATCAAACACGTCAATTGCTTGCACAATTTAGACGGATAATCAGCCGCAGGTGCACCGATGAATGCATGCGTGCATGCTCACATGCTTGTCCGTGGATCGCACGAGCTCGCCGGAATCCCCGCTCTCCTCGTCATCCTGCACGCAGAAATGCACATCAGTACCGTGCACGCACGCACGTAGCCAGATGATCAACTCGTATCGCCAGACGCGCGCAAGCACGCACGCACGCACCATGGAGGCCTGCACCCTGGGCCCGAAGCGGGCGGCGAGGGCGCGGACGGGGTCGAGCACGGAGAAGCCGGCGCCATAGCGGGCGCTCTCGACGCCGGCGGCGAGGGCGGCGCTCTCCGGCGAGGAGTCCCCTTCGGACTCGGCGTCGCGCCGTGCGACCTTGATCTTCTTGATGAGCTTCTTGAGGCACTTGTAGTCGACGAAGGCGCCCTTCCACTCGGGGATGATGCTGGCCTCGTACTCCCGCGAGAACTTCACCATGTCCTCTGCTAGCTCCGCCTATATACCACACTCCACTACGATCAGGGGTCGGGGATTGAAGCGGGTTGCTTCTCGTCCGAGCCGATCGATCGACCGAGCTGGTTACATGCGGAGGACAAGAGGAGGAGGGAGGCCGGAGGGGACAGGGACAGGCAGGAGTGATGGGAGAAGCAACCCTGCTTATATAGACGGAGGGAGGGACACACGATCGGGGAAGCTACAAACGATGGATACTCATTCTTTCCCGCGTCTCTTTCTCCCTCTCCTCCCACTCACGGATGAACGAATGTGTGTGTGTGTGTGCACGATTGAGCACCAAAATGGGAGGCACTAGTGCTCGCGATGAGGGCTGGATCGCTAGTGCTGCGGAAAGAGGGAGGAGATGCCCGAAAAGTATTAGGCCGGACGAATTAAAAGGAGGAACTAATCGTAAAGCAGCTAGCGGGGCCGATCGAGAAAGTCGACCAAAAATTTCTAGTGGACACAATGCGGTACGCGATGTATATATATTGCTGCTCGATCTGTAACTGGTTGCAATTTGCATGCGTCACTCAGGAAGAAAGCAGGGGCAGCAAGGAAAGGGTGGCCAGGGGTAGACGAAGATGAGTGAGTGAGAGAATTAAAGGGTTGCCTGCTTTAGTTCGTTCGTTCGTCTGATATAATTTTGCTTCTCGAGCTAGCTAAGCTTGGTGCCCCCATCTTTTGGGCGAAAAGACAGGGGAGCACGAGCGATTGCAGGGAGGGCAACGCGGTCGCTTGGGCGACCCGCTCACGCACGCACTCTGCCGCTCGTCCGGCCTGCCTGAAAACGCCAACCAACTGATCGCAGCTGGATATATCACACGTTTGGTTATTGCATTAGATCCATACGGCATGTATGATCGGCACCCCGTGTCGCGTCGCTATGGCCGTGTGTGCATCGCAATGATACAGAGGCGAAAATCTCGGGGTCTCGACGTAGGGCCCTCAGGGGCCGGGTTGAGTGGCCGGAGCACCCAAATTAATTATCAGGGCAATCTGGTTTCTTCTACTTCTAGTAGGTTAACTTGATTGATTAATGCCGTGTGTAACTACATAATAAATAATCACGCTTTTATTTAATTGATTTGGCGCAATGGCGCACGTTATACGTGGATGGGTCGATGAGTGTGGTGTGCTTTACACATTTCGTGGGTGGATTGGGCGGCAAAGGTCGACGGATTAATCGCAAGTTGGAGGGAGATCCATTAGTTGTACTACGTACGTGTGCGAGCGAGCAAGCACGCACTCACGTACGCCAGCGGCGGATGGTGGTGGCGGTGCGGGCGCGGCAGCCGGTGGTGGCGAGCGGCGGGGTCTTGACGTGGCCGTGACGCGCCGGCGACAGCCTCCGCACCTGACTGCGTGCATGCATGCACAAGTGGGACGTGCCTAGCTTTTCGCCCTGCACCGGGCAGTCGGGCACGTGGCGCACGTGGTGCTAACAAGGCTGCTGCATCGGTCAAAACTGGTGTATATATAGTACCTAGTAAAAATAAGTAGACCGTGTCTAGCCAAAGAACTAACCGATGCCAAAAAAGAGAGAGGAAAAACCACATGGC